CATAGCTCTGGCTCCAATGGAAACTCATACAATGGGGACAACCTGCAAAGAGGAATGCTTCAGTGCTGGTACTCACTCTAGCATGTTAGGGCTATTGGTATGAAATCTGGTGTGCTCTGGAATTAATAATGATTCCTTTAGTGCTCCCCCCATCCAGGACCAGAAAAAACAGTGTCTAATTTTCATGGGTGGGTCACGTCAGGTCTCTGATTTGTTGCCATGCTTCAAAAACCTGGAGCCCGTGCTTTCAGAAGAACAAGGAAGAAGGAAATACTATTCTTTCTGCAGGCTCTCTGGTATATAGAGAAATACCACCTCCTCAAAACACTAAATGGGCTTCATATTATGAAGATGGTAAGGTTTGACTGCAAGTTGTCAGGTATTGTCTTATGGATGAGGGTGCTCCTGAGATGTTCCCTCACCCTCTCCTGATAGGTGCACACCCCCAATATGGTAACTTCCAATGGCCATGAACAGAGCCATGCTGGGGAACATGCAGGAATAACACCAATGCACTTAGCCTCTATAGAACTGTGCCAAATAGCTCAGAATGGTAAACATTTTCAAGAATGAGCCAGGTAGTAAACATTTCAGGATTCACAGGCCAAATACTCAACTCTGCTGTTGAAGCCCGACGACACCTCAATACATAAATGGCATATAGCTATGTGCCAGTAAAACTATTTTTAAAAAAATGGGTGGCAGGCAGGATTGGCCAATGCATCCTAGTTTACCAGTCCTAGATGTAGATGTGAAAATTAAAACAAACTAGACACCACAGACATCAGGGTAGTCAGATAAGGCAGGCATGTTTTGGGGATAACATAGCAGCATTCAAGAATTTTATGAATGAAATTTGTTTCTACAGCATCATTTCCCTTTCAGATGCAAAACTCAACTTCATTTACAGGTTTCATGTCAAGTACTCATTACTCACTGTGGGCCAATAGACTTCCATATGCTGTTTTCCCTATTCCCTGATATTTCTGAGTTTTGAGAATACACCAAATGCCATTGCCATATGGCCATGGATCTCTTTGCCATTCAGGTAGTCTCTGGGTAGTCCTAAATGATTCTGAGTTTGGGTCATGAACATAAAATTGTTATTAAAAAAGAAAAACTATATGATCTTTCTCTCCAAAGCTTAGTGGATAGGTAAGATATCTGAGAAGGACTCAGGTGACATGTTGGCTCCACCACAGATAAGGGGCTTTTAAATTACATTTTAATTCATTTACCTGCCTCCTCTAACATCTGTATATTCATTCCCAGCTGGGGAAAAGGAAAGCTAAAAACACAGATAGGCTGTGCAACAGCAGCTAAGGGTCAGAGTGCATATGCTCAACCTTCCAGGCCGGCAGAACACACTGCCCTTAGACACCACGTCACAGGTACAGCATGATAAATGTCATGGTTCATATCAAACTTCTGAGGGCTCAGCTTGAAATGCTATGATTGCTGAAACTCTGAAGAGTCTCTTCAGCAGCTCCTTCATCGCCAGGAGGCCATAAGAGCTCCCTGTCTCCTTTCTCTCCTACAGTCAAGAGGCTTCCAAGAAGCAGGAAAAAACCAGACATCAGAGATATTGGACTCTCTTTAGCCTCATGGGGCTGCCTTGAGCACAAGCTACTATTTTACCCCACCCCCACCAGCAGCCTGACTGCATCCCAGTCCTTCCATGGGTAGCCCACTAGAGATAGAGTACTCAAACCACTGTTTCACAGAAAGAAGGGGAAATTAAAAATGGAAAAGCTCAGAACCCTTTTGTTGCATTAAATGACATAGAAGTATGCCTCTGATAGCAGCTGCCATTTGTACAGAGTCATTAGCTGCCACTGACCTCCACAGAGCTGGCTGGCCCTTTAGCTTCTATCCTGGTCCTTCTGGGGCCTCACAGCTCTGACTTGTCAGACAGCTTAGTTCACCCATCCTGATTCCAGAGGCTTCCAGTGGCCTGAACTACTTAAAGTGATGCAGAGCCAGACCTCTCAGGGGGTCTCAAACCACATGATGGGCCCTGGGAAGAGGGGAAAGGTTAGAAGTCCAAGGTTACATCTTCCCCTCTAATGCTTGGAGTTCCAACCACTACTCACACACTCATTTGTCCACCAATGGGTCATGGGCACTTGTCTATGGGACTCCATGGTGCTTACCTCACTACCATGGCACTGAGATGGCTCTTGGAACACAGCCCAGTGTTGACACATCTATAGAGGGAATGAATGGACCAAGGAGACAAGAAGAAAAGAAATGAAAAGTCCCAATAGCAAAGCCAACTTCCCCCCATCCCAGGTCAGACAGAGCACATTCAGCTTCACTATTAGATATGTCTCCAATGTCCCTGCAGGTGTCCTTCATTGTCCTGTGCTGGGGATGGGCAGTAAGCACTTATGACCTACCCCCAGGGAGATACCTCATCTCAGGAGGAAAAAGGTGTGGTACCAAGATGGAGTCCTGAGCATGGGGGCTCCATCACAAGGGGTATAGCAGCCCTTCAGCAGTGCCTAATGAGGAAGAGGCCTGTGCTGCAAATAGGCCAGTAACCAGGCTATTAGGAGGAGAGGCATGGGGAAGTAGGGGAGGGAGGCAGTGGCCTGCTGGAGAGAGAATCAGCCAGGAGGCCAGCATGACAGGGTGTGGGGTGAGCCCTGGGCAGTGAAAAGAGGCCTGTAAGAGCATGGTGCTGGGCCAAGTGAGACTTTGGAGGAAGTGAGGACTTTGTTATTGACTAGAAGGGAGATGAGAAGCCATTGATGGGTTCTGAGCAGAGGCACTGGGTGCCACAGCTTTGAAGTTGCCCAATCCACCCAAGGAGAACAGGCTGGGTGCTTGCAAGGACTAGTTTCAGGGCAGGGCCAGAGTGCATGGTGTGTTGGGGATTAGGAAAAACAGCTCATGTTCTGCATTTGTCGTATCTCTTGACAAAGCTTCAGATGTAGCCCATGCTTTGCCTGCAAACAAAAACCACTGTCTGTCCAGAATCCCATGTTGATGTCAAAAGATAGGGCTAGGCAAGAAGAGGACATTCTGAAGCAGTGGCTGAGGCTGCCTTGTTCACTCCTGTGTCCTTCTCCCCAGTCAAGCCCTTTATTGGTAAAGGCACTATCAGCATATAGAACAGGCCACAGGGCAGCTCCCAAGCCTAATGGGAAGAATCTACCAGGCAAGAAATTCAGGTATGAAAGCTGGGCCCCTTTAGTGTCTCTGGTAATATTTCTAGGTAAGTAGCCAAGCAGGGTGCTGCTCAGTAGGGAGGAGAGAGTGATTAGGAAGCTTTGGCTCTTCTTAGACTCATAATGCTTTCAGCCAAGGCAACAGAAAGAGCATAAAGCAGAAGCTCTTGAGTATTCCTAGTTCCAAAAGCATTCAGAGTCCTGCTCAGGAGGAAGCAAAAATGGTGGCCCAGGTGGGTAGCCCAGGCAAGTGGCTGTGCTGGTGGTGTGGCAGTGACCTCAATATAAGGAGCTGACTATTTCATGCCCTAGGAAGACCTCTCCATTTTGGGCTACCAGAAAGTCAGAGGACAGCAGAGTAACCCTGGAAATCTTCAGCTTTCCATGTGTATGTGGCTCATGGGAATATGTTACACTCCCATAAGCATTCTGGGCTAACCTAAGTGAAACGTACCTGTATGACTTTTCCTGAACTGGAAGAAAGAGAATGACAGACATCAAACATTCATGGGAATACATATTGTCAGTTCTGTTCTACAAATGCCTCTGCTCATACAATCCCAAAATTAACTCCATTTTATAGCAAAAAAAAAAAAAGAGTCTTAAAGTCTAAGTAAATGTTCCAGAGTCACGATATGACAAAGAAAAGTGATTTGAATCCCTGTTTGGCTCTAGAGCCCAACCTGCCTGCATTTGATTTTCACCCAAGTCTGTCCCTGAGTGGGAAGAGCATTGTCTAGGATTCATGGTGAGTTGATTCACAAAAAAGAGCACTAAATTTTTGAGAAGTGATTAAAAATCCAACACATGACCTTAAGCAGGTCATGTGGAAGGATCTTATAGCAACACCAACAGAATACAAGTTTGAGTAGTTCAGGACAACTCACGGTAGTGTTTATAAAAGGTGTTCTGCCAACTGAAAGCAAAGCTTGGTCCCTGGTGAATTGGGAGTGGGAAACGTGAGCTTGAGATGAGGATCAGAACACAGCAGCATTCACCACATCTGGCAGCTCTCCTACATGGCACCACATTGAGGACTCCAGTCAGCATGGCAAGCCTCAAAGCCCCATGCAGTTGAGTGAGACAGTGATTCTGTGATCGGCTAAGCACTCTGAGAAAACATTGCAGACTTTGAGGATTCCCAGGTGTTGCACAGTGAATTCACAAGGGCAGCCCAGGACCTTTATAGCAAATACAGCTCCTTGGCACAATGATATCTAAGCCTCTTGAAGTGAGAGTTGCATATTAGGGACCAAGAAACATTTGCTGGGTTCCATAGTTGAATAAAAATAAAGAAAATAAGGAGTAAGCCACCAAAAAAATGAATGGAATTCATCCTCCGCTCTCATATGCCCAGCCCTAAGCTCAGAGCTTTACTTAGATCATGCAGTTGTCAATCCCAAAGTGTAGGCACTGGTTTCCTGATCTGAAGAGGAGTTGCTCTGGACTAGCAAGGTTAAGTGTCTTTCTAAAACACAGCCATAATCAGGCCCCCATCCGTTCAAGGTATCCTGCTAAGCCCAGTTTGCCTGTGGACTCAGAGGCCTAGGTGTGGAAACTGTGGGAGCTCCTCAGACCTAGTGGCAGGGCTGAAGCATGATGCCCTTCTTGCCTTTAGTCTTTGTATTTGCACATGCCCAGCTTTTTGGAGAAGGAATATTGAGGAGTAATAAAACATGCTTTCTCTTAAATGAAACAAAAGACAGGTTTTAGAATGACTTTAATTAATGCTGCTTTAAGAGGAATATTCAAAAGCCAACTTTGAAGGTAAAAATCTAGCTTTGATCCACCTGCTTCATGACTCTTTAAATGCCACCACAATGGCACTGTCCTTGGTTTGTGTAAACCTTTCTGTCCCTGCAGATTCCAGAACAGAACACATCTAAATGGTAAACATGGTCCCTGGAGATGCACTTACTGGTACAACCCAGGGATGCTGAGGCGCAAATGTCACTGGTCACCTAGGGTGTGAAGTAGGTAGAGGCAGGTGGGATGGCAGCCTTATGAATCTCAGTGATGCTCTAGGCTCTGCCAAAAGTCTTGCAAGAAGCAGCCATGGATCCAAGATGCTACCTGTGTTCTCCGGAACCTGAATTTGGAGACCTTTAGAAGTGAGAGATGTAGGAAAAGCAGGATAGAGGTGGGGTGGCTGTCTGCTCTTCCACCTTCATGCTATGGAGGTCAGAGGACCAAGTACGGATGACAGAAAGGAGACATGTAAGATGGCAGTTATCATTGTACAAATTTCTTTAGGAATCACACCCAGGGGACTCTTGTTCTCCACAAGAGGCCACAAGAACCTACAGGATTAAAAAAACAAAGAAAGTTCTTGAACAAAGATCCAGGAATAGGATACTTCCTGCTGGGTCCCTGTGAGAACAGCCACCACCTTTTATAACAGAAGAGTCTGTACCCTATCACAGCTGGTGCCTCTATACCTGGGTCTCAATTCCAGGTCACCTTCCAGAGAGCTCTGTATACCCACATATACCTCAGAGACACTGAGGCCCACAAGGCCACATACCCCAGAATGACTCCAAGCCAAATAGGGCTCTAATTTGTCCCCTGAGGACTAATTTAACACATCTTTTGAAATATCTAATATTAGTTCCATCACTGACTCTTTTGGAGCTCTCCTTCTGTGCCTAATCTTTCTCTTGGGTGATCCAGTGGAGCTCACCACCCTCTGAAGCTGTACGTTACACACTTACTTCTCAGGTTTACATAGTGCCAGTGTTCCCCCTCCCCAGACTACAGGCTCGAGGGGCGCAGAAAGCCTGCCTGGCCATAAACATAGCACAGAGCCCAGCATGAGGTAGAGCCAGTACATTTTTTTTTTTTTTTGGCAGTATGGGGGTTTGTACTCAGGGCAAGGTACTTGCTAGGCAGGCACTCTACTACTTGAGCTGGCATCCCAAGTCCTAGCCCTATACATTTTTGTGGAATAAATAGCATGTGCCCATTTTTCCTCTCCTACAGAAGGCCCTGGTCTTCATGTGAAGTTCAGTGCCCCAGGGCGAGGCCAACAGAAAGAAGGTCATGGTAGTGGCAGGCAAGACAGGCTGTGCTTCTGCAGATAGACGCTGGACCTCTCTGCAAGCTTCCAGGGCTCTGTGTGCTTCCCAGTAATTTCTCTAGTGAGGCCCCTAGAGGAGGGCCTTGGTCTTGGTTGTTTCTGTCACTACAATTAGCTGAGCATGGAACCTATCTCCTTAGCAAGTTCCCAACTAGATCCTAAGATGTCACAAGTGGCAGCACAGAGTATCTGTGGACCCCAGGAAGGTCTCCTCTGAGGGCAGAGTCTCCAAAGTCTACTTGTCAGAGAAGAAAGCAAGGCACCCTGGGAAGTCACTACCCTGGGCCTCAGACTGAGTGAGGAGATGTGGGGAGAGGGGAACACAGGTAGCATCTTGGATCCATGGTTGCTTCTTGCAAGACTTTTGGCAGTGACTAGGGCATCAATGAGATTCACCTGGCTGCCATCCCAACTGCCTCCACCCATGCTGGCTTCCTGGGAAGCTGCACCAGTCAGATGACAATGGAAATTAGCATCTGAACACCTTGATGAAAGGAAGGAAGAAAGAGTTGGATGCCTGAATGAAAAATAGATTATTCACTGTCAGGTTGAACAATAGAACAAGACATAAATTACAGCCAGGCACAGGACATGCCAATTTTGCTCAAAAATGGTGCTCAGGGCACTCTTGCAGCCTTCCAGATTGCTGCAGATCCACTGTCAAGCTCTGCCAGCAGATGCAGAAGAGGGTGTGGGGCAGGAGGGAGGGAGGGCAAACAATAAAGGTCTGGAAGAACTGGGAAGAACATGGGCCTTAAAGCCAGAGACTGAACAAGAATTCCAGCTCTGTTATTTACAACTGTTTTTTTTGGGGGGGTGGGGGGGGCATTGGGAGGGAAACAGGCAGATAAGGGAAGCACAGCAGACCAACCACGCTTCCCACTGCTTCCCCTGGAACCTTGGAATCTGCAAAGATAAAGCATGAGCCTGCTGGTCAGGCATTTGGTACAGACAACTAATCAACCAGGATAGCCAGAAACCAGGTCTTCTGCATGTCACTAGTTGTTCTGGAATACTATTTGGTTAGTTGTTAAGTCTTCTGGCCTAGCGTGTCAAATCAGTCTCTCTGTCTGGCCTGGCATCTCTGCTGCCCTGAAGGAGGTCTGCCTTGCAACCTGGGGCCAACCAAGCCATATAGGGTTTGTGCAGCAGTTTCCTTGGTGAGGCTTGTGAGTCCTGGCAAGACTCATTCGTTTGCCCCAGAGTCAATGCCTAAAACTATGACTAGGGGTAAAAGGGCTGCTATAGATGCTAAATGAGGCTCATGTGATCTCGAGCTCTAATACCAGCACTGGAGTCATGTGTCAGCCTCTTATCATTCAACAAAAACCCCACAAAGTAGATGCACCCTCTACTTTGCCCAAGGACATAGGCTGGGTCATTTGCCCAGGCCATCAGGGTAAAGCCAGGTTTCAAACCTGGTGGGAAAGTGTTCCCCAGGCTGCAGGCTCCTGGCTTGAAAAGCTGTGGGTAGGCACAATGGCTGACAATGAATCTCACCTTACCTTGGTGAAGGTCAGACAGTCCTTGTCTTGGTCTCTGTCCTTCATCTCAAAATCATAAAGTGCTTTGCCCTGGGGTGGGGCCTGCGGCAAGGGCCGGACACACTGGATATAGCTGGCTGGGAGGAAGCCATGTATGCCCTGAAGCTCTCCATGGTACCAGTTGTCATCCATCTTGCGCCGCAAGATGATGATGTCCCCCTTATTGAACTTGAGGTCACCAGGTTCTTTCCCCTCATAGCTGTAGAGGGCCTTGCCATAGGGAAGCTGGGATAGATTCTGAAAGAAAAAAACAACACATGATTACTTGGAATGACCTTTTCCAATGCCCAGAGAGACCTGCCCAGGCAGCCTGGGGTTCTGAGGAACTTGTATCTTGGGGGTATGCAGAGAATATCCTGCAACTAGAAAACATTCTAAAGGAACAGACAGCTTATCATAGGAAGATGCAAACTTCCTAACCCCAGCAAGACAAGAGGGTCTCCATCACAGCCTTCACAGAAGTACCACTGAAGGCCTAGCAAGGCTGCAGACCCTCCACACAGACCAGCTCACTCTGCACTGAAAGCTCTGAAGGAAGTGATAATTTTAGAGGCATGAAAGAGAAGGCAACATGCCCAAAGCCCATCTGAGAAGTGTTAGGTGGACTAACAGCCCCGGTGTTCTGGGTTCCAGAATGTTCTTACCCACCACTCTGTGCTGAATCCTTTTCCACTGGGTGCTGTTTATTTCTCATGAACTTTTATCTAATCAGCTGCCAGACTTACAATAAATATTACCCAACAAAACTTCTTTGTCTACTAACACCTCACAGCAACTCAGGACATGTTCAGGGGGCTTTCAAGCTGGGCAGACTGGTCCATATCACACCCATCATGCCATGCCTTACTCCATGGGCTCAACCAGTGCCATACATTCACCAGATCCAGGTGAGAGATAACCTGGCCAAGGAACTTGGAGGCCACTCTTAAGCTCTTGCTCCCTACTACTCACAGACCCCTCACCCAATGACACATAGATCTTCACTGTATACAACAGTGTGGTCCACAAGGAAGTACAATTTCAAAGGCTAAAATCCTGTCCTCATAACATCAGATGTTCTTGTCAAAGGAAAGCCAATCCATCTATCTTTGGTCTCAAATAGTAACCAGCTCTGAAACCCAAACAGAATTCTTGGCAACCATCTTGACCTTTCAGCACCAAGAAGTTTCACACAATCCTGAGGTTAATCTGGTGTTACAGTCTACTTCCTGGGCTTCCCTAACTGGCCCTGTTTCATAAACACCATTCAGATGCATGGGTTGCACTTCATTTTCTTTTTGTATAGCCCACACCTGCTCAACTGAGCAAGCTTTGCCAAAGTTTCATTTTGTGTCAGAGGAAAGCCTTACTATTGTCCCTGTGTCAATACTCAACAATTTTCCTACCAGAAGCCGTGTTTTCTCATCAGGGCTGCCTGTGCCAAGAGTTTCTGTAGTATTTGAATCAATCAATAGCAGCACAAAAGCCTGAGGCAGCAGTACATCAAAAACTCTTTGTAGAGGGCTTAATAACACCTTGCAACTCAACCATTCTACATTTATGCCTCAGCAATGTCCAAAGACAGCAGTTAAGAGAGACCTGCTGACAGACTGACAAACAGCCACCACTAGCCAATTAAAGAGCAGCACCAGAGAATTTTTCATTACAGAACTCAAAAAGGAAAAAAAAATCAGTTTGTGTCCAATAATACTCATTCTGGATAGCTTTGTAGTATAAGTACAATAGACTGTAACAGGCCCCAGTTTTAAAGAGCAGAGGCAAAGGAGTAATTTGCAACACACACACTGTGCTCAGAAAGGACTGGAAGAGGCCACTGGCTGTGGGCCACCAGAAGAAACCTGCTGCAACACAAGAGCCAGCCAACCCCTGGCCTGGGGATTCTTAGTCAGGGACAATCTTGCCTGAGGACACTTTTGGTTGTCACAAATAGAAGGTGGGGTGCTGTTGCATCTACTGAGAAGAGACCAAAATGCTGCTGAACACCCTAAAGCTCTCCAGAGAGTGCCCAACCACCAGAATTACCCAGCCCAGGATGTCAATAGGCAAAGAGTCCTTGGCCCAGTATATTAGGTTCAATTTACAAAAGACTGAGTGGCTTTCTTGTTTAATTTTAACTCAGCTTACCACTGCTTTAAAAGTTAAATATAACATTTATTCTCATGATGGGAGAATTTCCATTATTGAACATATGGTGACAGTTAGATTTCCATCCAGGGAAGAGGTTTTAAAGAAATAGTAGGAAAAGATCTTGATCAAAAGCTGGCCTCAACTAGGTGCTCAAAAGAAAACTTCACTCTGATGTAGACTGGCTCCATTTCCTCCCACTGCCAGGCTCTAAGGGATCCCCCTCAGAACAATATTCTACGAGCCACAGCCTTGATGGCTGTTTGGTAGTTTTTGCTGCTATTGATCATAATGTGAGCAAAAAAGGCCTTTGCATCATGGCTTTGCCTCCTCTACACGCTCATGCTGTCGAGCACATATACCTCAGTAACTGCCCAAGTGGAAGGGATGCTGGGCTTGCTGCCTGACCTTCCCACCACCAGCTTTCTCTAGATGAGTTGACAAAGGGGTCCCTAGAAGGACCACCCACACCCTCAATGGACAACTGTGGCTCTGGCTCACTCAGGGTAGCTAGCAAAGTGAGAGCAAGGCTAAGGAAACTCAGGCATTTTCCACCAGGCAGCCAGGCTCTAGGGCCTACCACCCAGGACAAGGACACTCAAATTCCACACTTCAAGGTCCTAGAAGGCAAACACTTCTGAGCCTCAGGTGCTATGACCACAGCTATCTATGGCCCACCACTGTTACAACCCCACTCTACCAGCTGCTGTGTCCCTGACTCTCAAATCATTTTGTATTACCACTTTCCTTCTGACCAGTGGACTTTGTGTCAATCCAGCTGCTTGCTCAACAGACAGCTCTGCTGATATCCACAAACTCACCCAGGACATGGTTTGTCCTCTTCTTGTATACTTCATCCTAACCAGGCAATGTCTCACCCAGCTGATAAGCAAGGGGTTGTCTGTGCCCTGGCTTCAGCATTCCTCCTCAAATCCCACTTCTAAGCTCTCAGCAACATTGTGTCCCTTCCACTCCCACTGCCTGCCTCCCCTCTGCTCCAAACCAACACAGCCTACTCTATATGCTTGCTGCCCAAGCACAGAGCTTAGGTTACCATGCTGCTGCCTACAAGTTTCCAGCAGCTCCCCACTGCTCAGGAAGGATCCAAAGTCTTCTGCATGGCAGCTGAGGCTCCAGAGCGGGCACAAGCACACCTTTCCAGCCATAGTGGGCAGCATCCCTACTCCTACAGAGAATGTTCCAGAAAACCTGCAGGCTTTTGAAGAATCCCAGGGTGGGATTCTTGTCCACTGCATAGATCCCATTCAATAGGGACCCATGCACAGGGTTATTCTGTGATGAGAACCCAGAGAGTGCCCAGCACACAGCAGGTACCCTCCATATGCTGTTACTTCAAAGGAACTCAGGTAATCCTGGGTGGGGACAGGGAATGGGGAAAGTTAAAAACGAAGATGGGACTTGGCAATCCCGGTGCCCAGTGCACCCTGCAGAGATCCAAGAAAAAGGCACAACCCTACCCCTTGTGGAGGAGATCCTGGTGTGTGACCGGGCAGGAGACTGACAGGCAGGCACAGCCAAAAGACTATACACCCAGATACAGATACTTGGGTGCCAAGATCTCAGTAGGTCACTTGCTGACCCCAAGATGGCAGCACTGTCCTCGAAAACAAGGGAACTTATGGCTCTGGTGTAGTCCTGAAGTTATGCTCTGTGTGCCCCAGCTTGTGGGTCAGAAGAAGGGAGTAGGAAAGGGGAAGGAGTTGGAGGGTGAAGGATCTCCTGAGCACCTAACAGAACAAAACCGAGAGGGGCAATAAACCTTTTTAAGATTCAGAAAATGCGTGGATGTACTCTACCACTTGAGCCATGCCTCCAACCCTTTTTCTTTAGTTATTTTTGGGATAGGATCTCATGTTTTTGTCTGGACCATCCTGGATTATAATCCTATTTATGCTTTCTACGTAGTTGGGATGACAGGCATGCATTACCATGCCCAACTTTTTATTGGTTGAGATGGGGTCTCCCCAATATTTTGCCTGGGCTGGCCTCAAACCTCAGCCCTCCCTATCTCCATTTCCCAGGTAGCTAGGATTACAGATGTGAGCCACCACGCCCAGCATGCCAGATCCATTTCTGAAGGCAAAAACAAAAGAGTCAGAAATGATGCAAGGGGCAAAGAGCCAGAAAAAATGTTCAGAAATAGCAACACATAGCACCTCCACAGTCTTTCATCTTCACAGTCCTTTGTAAGGTTAACTAATTAGTTCACAGAAGGCCCTAGGGGCAGCTGAATGTTATTGAGGGGAAGGAGACTACTGAAAATCTCACAGTAGCAAAGGACAAATCTAAGGCTCATCTCTCCACACCCCCATGTCCCACTCTGAGGGGACTGAGTGGGTTGCTCCCTTTAGGAGGAACTGAGTTCAAACAATGCCACTAAACTGCAATTATAGGATTCAAGACATTATTTATGGGCAACTGGGGTTTTATTCAGAAAAGCATAAACTATGCCAATATCCTCAAGGGTTTTCCCTAGACTTTCTTCTAACAGTTTCAAAGCTTGAAACTTGTCAAGTTTCAGTCTTTAACATGTGAATATCCAGTTTTTCCAACAGCATCTGTTGAAGAGACTATCTTTTCTCCAATGTGGTGCCTTTGTCAAAAACCGGATGGCTGTAGCTGTGTGGGCCTGTTTCCATAACTTCTATTCTATTCCACTGATCTACACTCTATTTCTGTGCCAGTACCATGCTGGATTTTTTTTGTTTGTTTGTTTTGTGGTAGGTACAGGGGCTTGAACTCAGGGCCTACAACTTGAGCCACTCCACAGCCTTTTTTTGTGATGGTTTTTTTCTAGAGAGGGTCTCGCGAACTATTTGCCTGGGCTAGTTTTGAACCACAATCCTCCTGATCTCTGCCTCCAGAGTAGCTAGGATTATAGACGTGAGCTACCAGTGCCCAACTTACCATGCCATTTTTGTTACTACGTCTCTGTAGTATAATTTGAAGTCAGATATTGTGATACCTCCAGCATTGCTCTTTTTGCTCCAAGATTGCTTTGGCTATTGCAGGTCTCTTACACTTCCAAATGAGTAGGAACCTCAATTGCTCAGAAAATAAGAATAAAAATTGAAAAATGGGATTACAACAAATTAAAAAAATTTCTGCACAGCAAAGGAAATGATTTCCAGAATCAAAAGAAAACCTACTGAATAGGAGAAAACCTTTGCCAGTTATTCAACAGATAAATGATCACTATCCATAATATATAAAGAGCTTCAAAAATTAAACATCAAAAGAATAAATAGTCCAATTAATAAATGGGCTGAACAGTTTTCAAAAGAAGAATACAAATAGCTAAGAAATACATGAAGAAATGTTTAACATCCTTAGCCTAAAGGTAATGCAAATCAAAATATCATTAAGATTTCATCCTATCACAGACAAAATGGCTATTTATAATCAAGAAAACAAACAAGTGCTAGAGATGATACAGGGAAAAAGTGACCCTTACCCATTGTTGGTGGGAATGTAAATTAGTGTAGCCACTATAGAAATCAGTATGGATGCTCCTTAAAAAACTAAAGATAGAACTATCGTATGATCCTTCTATACCACTCCTGGTCATATATCCAAAGGAATGTAAGTCAACATACAGTTCAGATTCTGGCATGCCCACATTTATAACATCACTACTCACAATAGCCAAAATACGGAATCAACCTAGGTGCCCATCAATAGATGGACAGATAAAAGAAAATATGGTGTATATAAACAATGGAGTATTATTCGCCCATAAAGAAGAACAGAATTATGTCATTTGCAAGATAATGGATGGAACTAGAGATCATGTTAAGTGAAATAAACCAGACTGAGAAAGTCAAATATCACATGTTCTCTCTCACATGTGGAATCTAGCTCATAAAAATGAATGGCATGAATGTAAAACAGATACTGTTTGGGGTACCAGAGAGAGGAAGAAAGTGAAAGGAGGGGAGTTGAATATGGCCAAAGTATTGTATAAAGTTGTATGAAAATGAAACAATGAAACCACTTCGATTTGTTCCAAGAAGGGGAGGGAGGACCCCTAGAGAAGATGGGTATATAATATGTATATATGAAAACATCACAATGAAATTCCTTTGTATAACAAATATATGCTAATAAAAATGAAAGGAAAAATGCTCACCATCTCTAGCAATAAAGGAAATGCAAATTAAAACCACGCTAAGATTCCACCTCACCCCTGTTAGAATAGCCATCATCAGCAACACCACCAACAGGTGTTGGCGAGGATGCGGGGAAAAAGGAACCCTCTTACACTGTTGGTGGGAATGTAGACTAGTACAACCACTCTGGAAAAAAATTTGGAGGCTACTTAAAAAGCTGGACATCGATCTACCATTTGATCCAGCAATACCACTCTTGGGGATATACCCAAAAGACTGTTACTCCAGAGGCAACTGCACATCCATGTTTATTGCGGCACTATTCACAGTAGCCAAGTTATGGAAACAGCCAAGATGCCCCAGCACTGACGAATGGATTAAGAAAATGTGGTATCTATACACAATGGAATTTTATGCAGCCATGAAGAAGAACGAAATGTTATCATTCGCTGGTAAATGGATGGAATTGGAGAACATCATTCTGAGTGAGGTTAGCCTGGCCCAAAAGACCAAAAATCGTATGTTCTCCCTCATATGTGACATTAGATCAAGGGCAAACACAACAAGGGAATTGGACTATGAGCACATGATAAAAGCGAGAGCACACAAGGGAGGGGTGAGGATAGGTAAGACACCTAAAAAACTAGCTAGCATTTGTTGCCCTTAACGCAGAGAAACTAAAGCAGATACCTTAAAGCAACTGAGGCCAATAGGAAAAGGGGACAGGTAACTAGAGAAAAGGTTAGATCAAAAAGAATTAACCTAGAAGGTAACACCCACAGGAAATCAATGTGAGTCAATGCCCTGTATAGCTATCCTTATCTCAACCAGCAAAACCCTTGTTCCTTCCTATTATTGCTTATACTCTCTCTACAACAAAATTAGAAATAAGGGCAAAATAGTTTCTGCTGGGTATTGGGGCGGTAGAGGGAGGGGGCGGAGTGGGTGGTAAGGGAGGGGGTGGGGGCAGGGGGGAGAAATGAATCAAGCCTTGTATGCACATATGAATAATAAAAGAAAAATGAAAAAAAAATGAAAGAAACAATATTTCTATTGCAAGACATATTCAGTGATAACTGTTATAGTGACTAGGATTGTAATATTTTATAATAAATATGTTGACTATCCCAATAAAATGCAAACATATCTTTAAAAAAAAAAAAGGAAAAGAGGGCTGGTTGTAGAGCACCTGCCTAGGAAGCCTGAGGCCCTGAGTTCAATCACCAGTATCACCAAAAATAAATAAATAAATACATACATACATACATACATAAATAAAAGGAAAAGGGAGAAATACATTAGGGAATCCCAGGGGACAATTAACACCAGCCATTCCTGCAAGGCATTAATAACAATTAAAATTTTAATGTCGATTTCATGGCTCATTACTCAGATGAGGCACACAAATCTTCCTCTGGGCTTAATGTCCTACCCCCACAGAGACAATGCAGTACTCTCTAGCTTTGATGCGATTAAATGCATCAGCGGGCTTTAACAAATAGGCTTCCATTATATCCCATTGCCATAAGGGCTCTCAGGCACATCCCTGAGCCAGAACAGGTGCCAAGGTAACCTGAGCACAGTGGAGGGGTGTGCCTGGAACCCTCCTCTTTTAGACCCTAAGGACTCCATCTGGTCTTCCTCACTGAGTGTCTTCCACTCACAGTGCTTCCTACTCACAGTTGTAGTTACCTATCTGCCCTCTCAGGGCAGACTCTTAACCTGTTTCTGCCTCACCCCTGCCATGACATGGTTTGCAGGCTCAAGATATCAACTGACTGAATTAATACATGACCATTGTCAGAATCAAAACGGAGTCACTTCTTCTGTCAAGCTTTAACCAAAATAAAGCCAAGAGGCTCTGAAGGCGGTGAGTACTTGACGACAAGAACTATTCACAAAAGTCTCTATCCAAACTGCAACCTTGTGCAAGATCATTGCAACCTTCACACAAACACACACACTTTTGCAAAGGAATCTTCCCAGCAACTGTGTGTTCAACCTTGGACAGGTGCACCCTTGTTATTGATCCCTGT